GCTGGACAGTTTGCGACGTCAATCAATACACGTAGATGTCAGTGAAACCGCATCACAAACCGATCCTTCGACCCCCACCCTCTCCACCTCAGACTCAGCTATTCAGGTATTGTTGAACAGAAAACTTCTGCCGCGGTGTTGCCTTTTTAATTCTGATTTCTAACGCTCTTCTGTGTTTTGGTTAGGTTGACCTCAGTACCGCCGCCAGTTATTTGGCTGGCTTCCATGAGCAGTTGCCGCAGTCCAACAGGAGGACTACAAATGTAGCGGGTATTCTGACTCCTGATTCGGACTCGGATACTGACTGCGTTAGTGAGGACTACCTGCCATTTGATTGCCCCGGTGGTGAAGCGATTGTCTCCAACTTGCAAACGACTCCCATCCTCGGAGCTCCGCAACCACATGACTCCGCTCAGCAGGAGGTGCAACAGGGGGATGTGAGCACGCCAGAGGCTGTCAAAGTAATTTACTTTTTTGTATTCTCATTTTCCTAAATTATTTCCTGTCGTTAGAGGGTTTGGTAGATATGCTTAATTCAGTTGACCCAATTGTGAAAAATTCGATTGTCTGACTGTGTAAAGGGTATAGCAACCAGCCATTACTTGTCATTTGTGGTCTTGAGCGTTAGTGTATTTTGACTCATTGCTCTCCTGTTAAGAGGATTCTAGTTTGTTTTGGTGAACCTCGATCGTACACCGAATTAATGATCCTTATTGACAGAGCGCCGATTACGCAATTATATTCCACCAACCAAAACTTGGAAGGGTAGACTTCAAATAGGAGTTGCATACGAGGAGCTGTTGTGGAATATTGTTCATATCCATGGGCTGATAAGCTCTCGTGTGTGATGAAATGGCGAAAAGGATTGCAGGACCAAATTTATGAGCTGGTTCCTGTGGGTAGTTAAGTCAAACAACCCACCAAATGAACACCTAAGAATAAAATTATGGAATGCGTTGACCTGGGTCCAGTAAACGGTATCGTAAGGACTTATCCTCCTGGTAGAAGGGAGGATGGTCTTTTTCTGCTTCGCATCAGTTCCCTATTTAACGATGATTTTCATCAGCCCGAGCGATTTTATATCTGTAAAAAAGCCTTGGATTCATAGGTTTTAGTTCGGTTCTCCAAAACCCATTTTATTATGGTCTTTTTACGCATGGCAATCCTTTTACTTATTTTATGAGAGTTGGTTAGTTAGCTATTTAAAATCCACAAAATGACCTATTACATGAGGTAATAGGAGTTAACTTGCCTCTTTTTGTGCTTTAAGTCAAACGGTGTGTGAAATCAACTTTGTTTTTGCGTAGTGTTTTGAATGAGTTTTATTTAGTACCCATGTCGGACACCTTGTCTTCCGTAGAAGGTATTTAGCACTTGAATAACTGCTAGTTAGATTAAGTAGAGGCTCAAACGTTTGTGGAGGCAGTATTATCTGAGCACTGCTGATCAAAATCATAATACTTTATTGCAAGCCAAACTAACTGCAAATATTTTGACAACCGATTGTGAGTCCCGGGTGCATTTTCGAGAATTTATGAGGCATTTCGAGTTTACCCGTATTTGCCGCTGGTCTCAAAAGGAAAGCCGATATGCGGAAGAAGTTTGTTCGCCTGACGTCTTGTATTTACTTACGAACCCAGCATCAGCTTAAGATAATGGACAACCATGGGTTGTAGTACTGATAAGACGCAGTTGTCATGTCATTATACACCCATCAAAGTTAGCGGCCTCTCGTTCATTACTGGTGTTCGTGTCTTATGCAATGATTTTTTGATAGTCTACAGTCAAGTTGCTAATTTTATAGCTGATGTTTGTGATGAATGGGTGGGTTGCTGTTAAAGTTCAGTACTTGCACTGCTAT